TCTTGGAGGAGGAAAGAAGTATGTTCTGTGCTTTGGGTTATATTATATTGTGCACATAAGTGATATGATGGATGAATTCGAAGAGTAAGAATAAGGTCATCCTAAACTTCTCGGCTGTAAGGGAAGGAAAGATGGATGGCTTTTGGAAGTTTTAGTAGTTTGTATATCTCTCCTTCCGTTTATTCCTCTTCCCCTCTCCCCCCTCTGCCCCTTCTCCCCCATCCCCCCTATCCATCCATCTTCCCAAAATCCCAGAAATCTCAAATAACCCCAAACACCAAACCCCAAGCTCCCTTTATATCTATATCATATCTATCTATACTCAAAGATATCCCATTCCATCTCAATACCCAAAAACCTCAAGAATCCAAATTGTAACTAAATTAACCCTATAAATCTTTAAAATTCTACAGATTCTTTCTCGTACTTCCCATCTTTCCCATCTTTTGAATAGGGTATCTCAAGTTTAGCTCATTAATTTTAAAACATCTTACTCTCTTCGCTTATCTAGATCCTGTAAATTTTCCATTATCTATTATTTATCCATCTAGTCTATATAACCAACCCATCGCCTACTTCCCTACTTCCTACCCCCTCAACCCCTCCAACCCAAAAATTAATTATTAGCAATAACATCCCCACCATACTGTACCCTCCTAATCGTCGAACGATTACACCCCTTAATATCCCTAATACCCGCCAATCCCATACTCTGATCCACATCCGCCAATATCCCCTGCAAGATCTGTTTGGCTCCCTGTTTCCCACCTACTGCCAATCCATAGATAGCTGGTCTTCCTATCAATACCGCTTTGGCACCGAGACTGAGTGCTTTTATAACATCTACGCCAGTGCGGATCCCGCTGTCGAATAGCACCGTCAGTTTGTCACCTACGGCTTCCACGATTTCGGGTAACATTTCTAAGGAGCCGATGGCCCCGTCTAGTTGACGTCCGCCGTGGTTACTGACGATTATACCGTCAACACCGGCTTTCACGGCTTCTAGTGCATCGTCTGGATGTTGGATTCCTTTGAGTACAATGGGTCCATCCCAATTATCCTTCAAGAGCTGGATTTGATTCCAAGTATGCGCAGCACCTGAAAAAATATCTCCGATCCATTCTTGGGATGCCTCGAATACTTTTTCCTCTGGCGTGGCGTTGTATTTCTCGTGGAATTTGCGGCGGAAAACGGGATCTGTGAATCCGGTTTTATCGCCTACGCCTTTGATGAATGGGACGTATCCTCCGTCGAGATCGGCGGGTCTCCAGGCTAGTGCCCACGTATCAAGGGTTACGACTAGGACTTTGTAGCCGCAGTCTTTGGCACGTTTGAGAAGGGAGATGGTAATTTCGTCGTCTTGTGGCCAGTATAGTTGGTACCAGCGGTGGCCGTTTGGGCCATTGGATTCAGCTACTTCTTCGACTGGAAAATATGGGTCAGTAATTGTGTTCATTAATGGGAACAAATATTCAGCTTCTTACTCGATGAAGAAGAAGCAGTGCTGAGAATATAAGGTACACCAATCTCAGCACAAACTTCCGAGAGTCCCGTTTCCTTATCTTCATGGAAGATCTTCTGGACGCCAACTGGAGCCATCAAGATAGGACTGTCATATTCCTGACCAAAGAGATTGACACGGAGATCCCTCTTAGTGGTGGGACGTAACATTCGTGGAATCATCTTCCATTGTCTGAATGCGAGCCTGTTTGCATCCATAGTGGCTCTTTCACCTGCTCCTCCTGCTACATAGTTATATGATGTAGATGAGAGCTTGGAACGTGCTTGTTCTTCGAGTTTGTTAGGGTCAGTGGTCACGGTTGGGGTGGCATTGGCGAACATGCCATCTAGAGGTGTTGGGTTAGCCGCTTTGCCTTCTCTTGATAATCACGAGAGATTGAATGGGGTGTTGAACCTTTGTAGATTTCATTTTGAAAAGCGCCATATTTCCTTTCGTGACTTTTCCCATGAACGGATTGAGGATGCTGTTTCTGCATATTTGAGGACATTTTATGTAGTGATTAATTAGAGGAGAGAAAAGAAAAGAAAAAGAATGCTTATACACAACGACGATGATGTACAAATTGAGAATGAAAAGTGAGGGAATGAACATCAATATACTTCCTGCAATTATATTATATTATACTCAATACCAGTTTTCTTTGGTCGAAAGCGAAATCTGCGGAAAGTCCTGAAAAGTAATACCATTTACCTGACGTATTCCATATCAAATTGGTAGAAATAACTGACATGGTAAGTAGATGTTTTTAGCTATGCATGCAGTAGCGACGTCATAGGGTCATTCTAGACTTTAGCTATGATTTAGCTATGGGTAGGGGAGTTAACATCACGAGATCATAACAAAATCCACTCAATAATCCCCAAAAAATGAAGATTTTCACTGATTCTCAAATGCATGTGGAATATATATTGTACATGAGGTTGGTGAAAGGTACGAAGATGAGATGCAAGATGTAAAATGTAAGATATAGGTAATATAAGATGTAAGATGTATCGTCAGATCAATAATGTCATCATACGGGGTCTTTGCACTTCGCTTGGCACGCACGGGCACGATAACTGACCGTTTGGGGCTCAGACACGATCCGATGATACTTATGGAGCTCGGAGGTATGAACTACCACAATGGAAATATCATGCATGATTTTTAATATACAATCTAATAATACACGCCAAGAGCGTCAATTATGAACTGGTTATGTCGTGGCATCATATCCACATACAAGAGCAACATAAACACAATTGTAAAACAAAATTACAAATTATATCTTTACTTTCATACCGAATTTTTGATTCCTAATCAAAGTTCCCGAGCTACGAGTGGCTCATGTGGCTCTACCTACCCCGAGTTTACTATTCGCCCCGCACCTCAACAACTAACCCCGCTCAGAAAGAGTAACCCAATATGTATTGGTAGCATTGACCGTCGTACAAATAATCTTTATTATGTTCAATGAAGTATCCTATACCAGACCTCGGCCTTGCCTGTCGGCTGTCGAACCCTCGTAGTTAAACGGTGTAAAGGGTGTGGTGACAGTTGGTGTAACCCCGCTCTCCCAACCCTTCCTTACTTAAAGTGATTAGAATCTCTAACAATTACCATTCTCCCGTATCAATCCCTCTATACCTACCTCTACCTACCTACACATATCCTTTTTCTTTTCCAAAATCCCTCCGCAGAATAATCATTTGAGAAAGATAAAATCGTGTTTAGCCTCGCCAAGAACAAATCGCAAATATGGCTGCTGCAACGGTTCAATCCTTTGATATCCCAAAACAATATAAAGCTATCGTATACGATAAGCCGGGAACTATTTCCACAAAGATCGAGCAACTAGATACCCCTGAACCTGGACCTGGTGATGTGCTTGTTCGACTGTGAGCTCGCATGATGCACCCCTTTTTGTTGATGTCATTTCGCTGATTATGTTGTCGTATGTAGCACCCATAGTGGTGTTTGCCACAGTGATATGGGAGTCTGCGAGAATAGCTGGCGTGGCCGTAAGTTTGCGACCTCATTCACATTCAAGATGAACTTCTAATGCCATGAAAGTTCCTTATCCGACGCAAGCTGGACAAGTGGGCGGTCATGAAGGGGTTGGAATCGTCCAGAAATTAGGCCCAGGTACGGAAAATGGTCGCATAAAGCTTGGTGATCGTGTTGGAATTAAGGTGAGCTCACCTCCAAAGCCTGAGGGATATGTTGAGTTGAGAATCTCCAAAGTGGATTGCCTATGCTTGCGGTGCTTGTCTTCCTTGCCTTGAGGGTAAAGATGGTGTTTGCTTCGTAAGTCAACCCAATTCTGATTTCGCCTTATGATTCAAAACTAAAATTGTCGTCTCGTAGAATCAAAAAATCTCTGGCTATTATTGTTCGTGAATCGAGGCTCTCTATGTGGGGGTTATCTCTAATTTAAGAAAATAGACCCGGGAACTTTTCAACAATACGCGCTCGCGCCAGCGAACTATGTAACGCCAATTCCAGATGCTCTAGATTCTAAGGACGCTGCTCCTATACTATGTGCTGGTGTCACGACGTGAGTTTTCACAGCCTCAATTTGGTCGCTTAGGCGGCCGGGCCTCCTCAGGGTTGCCACCCAATCGAGTAGGCGAAGCTCACAGAACTTTTTTGAGTTTAGATATTCAGCCTTGAGAAAGAGTGATGCAAAAAGCGGACAATGGGTTGTTATCGGTACGGTCATCTCCGAGTTTTATGAAGTCTGTAAACTAACATACAACAGCCGGTGCGGGTGGCGGTCTTGTAATTTCCTTCACGGAACCTTTAATTACACCTCATGCTAACCGTATTTAGGGTCACTTGGCTTGTCAAATCGGAAGTCGTGGGATGGCAATGAGGATCATTGGAGTTGACCATGGGAGCAAGGAAGAATTAGTGAAAGAGTGCGGAGCAGAGGTCTTCATTGATGTCACCAAATTTGACGACAAGGCGATCGCTGAGGAGGTCAAAAGAGTCACAGGCGGACTTGGAGCGTCTGCGGTCATTGTATGCACTGCTTCTAATCGCGCCTATGCTCAGGCGCTTAGTTTCTTGAGATTTGGAGGAACGTTGGTCTGCGTTGGAATGCCGGAAGGCGATTCCCAACCTATTGCCAACTCATTCCCTGCAGCTATGGTGAAGTTATTCCTCATCACATCAGTAATATTAACTAACGTCAGCAGGTTGCCCAAGAATGGAAGATCAAGGGCTCGTCCGTAGGTAACCAACGTGAAGCACTGGAAGTACTTGATATGGCCGCCAGGGGTATCATCAAGACTCGTATCCGAATGGAGAAGATGGAGAACTTGACGGAGGTATTCAAGGAGATGTCGGAGGGCAAGATGCAAGGAAGAGTCGTACTTGATTTGTCGTAGTGAAAAAAAGAAACGGCCTGTATTTGCCACACATAAGTTCTCATGTAGGAAATAACTTTTGATGATTTCTTCAAGCACTATTGACTAGAGCTGAAACATGAATGAGGATATGATGATGAAAACATGAAACGATTTCTTTGAATTTGTCACACCGAGGAGTAATTCTACTGGAATGTTAATGGATAGAGTTCTTACAATGGCCCTGAGCTTACACGTCGATATCCAATCCAAATCTGCAAAGTTGGTATAACCGTCGATGCCTCGAAATGACCCACCTGGAGATGATGGTATGATTGGTAAAGGGATCATAAGCTGAATGATTTGGTACCGGCAGTTTGGTACTGACCAAAATCTTACAGGTTGCATCAGTGCCGTATCATAACCGAAAAAGCTCTAGAAGTTCATGGACAGTCGATGCATCGAGGCTTGACATGCCTGTTTTAGATATGACTTCTCGAAGAAATGGGTGATGATTTTGGTGACCCACTTGCCGTGCTGCGCCACGAATTGTGATAACATCCTTCCCACCTTCATTCTACGGAGCATCACTTGACATTGAAATGATGCGGGAAGAGGGCCAGAATATGCATGGGGAGGGTTGTTTCTTTTTTAGCTTGAAACTTCTAACTTCGATTGGGAAAGGATACGGTGTGATGGAGAGAATGGCCTAACACACTACTGCAATGCACCAACTCCGAAGGTTTCTTAAGTGTCATACTATTCATTTCCCTCGTCGTAACGTTGACCATTGACGAGTGAGTTGAGATGAGGACCCAGTGTCCACCGTCCATCCACCCAAGGCCACAATCCCGCATCCTCAATCCCCCCTACCCTACAACAGTTTTAAAGTAAGTACCAGGTAGACCCCGGGGCGATCCGTCATGGACGTTGAGTTATTTTCAGATGCTCAAATTTCCATCCATCTGGCGATATTGAGTCTTGTCATTGGCATAAAGATGGCAAAAAAACGTGTTGGCGAATTCACAATGAAGGGGGAGTTGGGTGAAATGGATGACTTGGGGGAACTGAGGGAATTCATTAGGATTGATTGAAGGAGTGAGCCTTATCACCGAGTACCGGTATTGATCTCGTACGAAGCACTAAATTTTATTGGTTAAATGTTTTCCATCAGCTCAATGTCAGCCTGGTCCACTTACGACCTCTTACACCCATTATTGGTCTGCTAATCGTATGGTATCTGTCCGGCTGTTCTGTATCGGGGTCGTTTGGTTCTCTCCACCAATTGCTCCGTGCTTTTTGAAGTTCCCCTTCATCCCATATTTTCCAGCCAATGGTAATGTTCCCCATCGAACCTTATCCAACCATAGTTTAACGCCGCAAGCGACTATTGTGGCTTGACTTTCCACACCTACTTAATTATACTAGGTGCATCGCACACTATTACCATACCGGCAAAGTCGTAAAGTACCAACGAGTCCACATCGTACATCTTGTTCATATGAATGCCTTGTCTTCCCACCCAGCCGACCTACAAAACGGCCCATGCGACCACTTTGGAGACCTACTAATGATACCAGATACTTTTGCTATTCCAAGGGCTGAGCATCCATTGCTTCTAATCCTCTGCATACTAACAAAATGACGAAGAACTTTACAGGCAGAAGGGAGGGAATTTCACAAGTTTGCAAGATATATAAGTCGCACCATCATCAGCATCATCATGGGATTCACACATTCACGTCCCACGCATTTTTACCTTTATGTCGTCTCCAATTCCCAACTTTCGCCATCTTTACATCGGCAAGACCATGTATGCAACACGTAGTGATCAACTCTACTCCCATCAGTCCTTGAGTGGACACGCCTCTATTGGTGATGGCGATTCAGATAACGATAGCAAGCTTTCGACATACTCCGATGACGATCATGGAGACGAGGAACAGTATAGAGAGGGCGGGGGAATAGGATCCCAAGAATTTGACGTGTTCTCAGAAGATGAGGAATCAGACGATGAGCCACTACACACTGTGCTTGCTGTCGATCATTGCAGATTAGTACGATCAAGGAGGCAGTCGGGGGAGCAATTGAGTCCATACTTCGCTTTCCAGGTTGGTGTGGCAGAGGTCGAAACCCGCAGCATTCGAATTGGCTCATTAAGGCAAGGAGGGGAAGAGAAGTGTTCGTGCGGAATGGAGCCTTGCTTCCACATAGCCAGACTTAAGTCTGCAATGGGCATAGCAGCCGATGATGATTGCTTTGAGCGCCTCGACGAACGTGGTATGTCCAATGTATGCGACGAGCTTGGGTGGAATTACTCAGACGAACCATACCTTTTTCCCGCACCACAATGGACGCTCAAGAATGAGAGAATAAGGACAAGCACGGCATCCCGCGGAAGAGAATATGACGTCAGAGACATGTTATCATTCTTTCACCCACAAGCCGTGGCGGATGAGTACCGAGACATCTTTGATTTTGCTGTACATAGCAACGAGGTCCTTGTGCCTTACAACCTTGAAGCGACTTTGTCCAGACTGCTGACCCAGGATGATGTTATTTTTCGTCGATTTGAACATCACATCCCCAGAGAACGCCGTGATATCATGTATCTGCACAAGATGGAGGATAAGTTCAACGAATCACTTCGGCAATTGGATGAATATTCAGCTTCTGGCAGTCTTTCCAATTGGAATGCGATGACCCCATCCGACAACGTTGCTTTTGAACACAACGTACCATGGTGTGCCCAAAGTCTCATTCGAATTAGTGATTCAATGAGTGATAACTTGAGATGGCGAGTCGGTATGAGTGTACATAATCAATTGCAAGCAGCTGCAACCCTGATTCGAATGTTGGAGGCTGTTCGGTCGCGCAATGTCGATGTATACGCGAATCATTCTTTTCGCCGCAACAGACCCCATGGAGAGCAACTGACCAATCGAAATCTTTACCTGAATTTACTTGGTCCACAATCCGAGAATATTCCAGGTAGAAGCAATTTCATTCTTGACGCCCTAGAAACCTTGCCCAGGAATGTCGTTGCCGCCGGTGATTTTATCGATCGTTTAGACCGTCTCCGCGCCGATTTTAGCAGTGTCGGTTTTGTTTCCCCAAGGCGACTATATGTGAATAGGCTAGACCAGTTGGTGTCAAAGCTTAGAGAAAATTATGGACTTCCTTTAGTGTCGGTTTCGTCATCCATGCAAGCTACAGGTACCGTTTCTACCAACCTCGAGCCTTCCTACGATGTTGGGTCAAGTTCTTATGCCGTTGCCGGTCCGCTTCTCAGAGGACCAAGCTCTTCGTCACGTACTAGACGAGGCTCCTCGACTCGTTCAGCATTAGGGAAGCGGTCTGACAGGTCTGGTACTTCTAGCGATCGACGTGGAAAACGCGCCATGAAGTAAAGCTTGCCAGACAAGACTGGTCTGCTGAAGGTGGTGGAGAGCGTAATATTCTTGTTTGTTCTATTCTTATTTTTTTTTTGTGCATCATCTCTTGGTCAGGTACCATCAGATTAATTTTCTACTTACTGAAATTTGTCACTGTATTTTGGGAAATGTTTCAATATTGTTTTATACCAGGTACCATTTGGCGTATCATGTTTGGAAGATATTCTTACTAGACTAGAACGGGATATGGTAGAATTCCTGAGATGTGCTATCTATATACTTCAGATTGTTTTAGCCCACCCTATGGTAGCGCTACAAGGAATATACTTTATCGTCCCATCAAGAATGTCTCAGAAGAAGTCAAGCATTGAATTATCCTGATTTATCATACATTTTCATTTGGGTGAAATATGATGCAAAGTCGCTATTAAAACCATGCTTATATTAGCTTCAGCCCTCACTTCTTCTCGTTCTCGAGGGCTTTATCAATTTTGGTGATGGGGTGATGATGCTTTTCATTTTGCCCGATTTAGCCAGCTCCAACGGCCTTTAGAACCCGCAAAGGTCTTTAAATGGGGTTGTTTAAATTTTGGTTTTGTGCTTTGATACTATTTCTAGCTTTTTTTTTGTGCTTCGCCTCGACATCCTATTCTCCTTGTTAGATGAAGATTGCGGGGGCCAAGGATCACATCAACTCATCCAATAAGACTTCCATTAATTTTTGTATCCTGCAAAATCAAATTTTCGAATGGAACGCTGCCTTTTTTCGGGCTAAGAAATTTTGGCAACCGTTCCGTCTATTTTGGCAGCATGGGGTTAGAAACTTTCCCAATTAGAATCGGGAGGAGTAGGAAGAGGTTCATCCTCCTCAATGCTATCATATTACTAGGCGTATTTTAGAGCGGAAATCAGACCTACACTTCCTTGTGACGGCCACGGCTGTCACTGCGGCGCTTTCATCATCAGTAGTTGAGAGTCGAAATTGCAGCTTGGATATTAGTGACCTTTTGGATATCTTGTACCGGGTTTTCTTTACTTTTACATGCGTCAGCTACATATCGGCGCTATTATCCTAAGTAAGCTATAAAGCTTCGTCTCTAGCATTAATACGCATGACGTTCATGCTAAGCGCCTGGGCGGGCTGCGCTCCCAAGCGACCTCTACCTCCACCAGCTCCATTCTCCTGCTTTCTAGGAAGGCTTGCGAGATGTGTCTCTGGTTTTGTGAGATCTTATACATTTTTGGATTATATATTTACTATTTACTATTTGAACAAGGAAACTAGTTAAGGATATTAAATTTTCAACACTATATGTGGTTTTAGCTTAAGTCGACAGAGTCGCGGATTCAGAACCGGCAATTTCTGATAATTTATTTGCGCTTTCTTTCTATTCATGATTGTATACTCTACAAGCGAGTCGATCTCTGTTTATGTTGGGATATTCTTTGGTGTGGGTATAGTGTAGTATAGTATGGTAGTGTTGGGCTTGTGCGGTTTGATATGATTGCTATATATGCTATTTTGATGGGATGGGATGGGAAGTCGTAGAGGATGGAGGTGTGATATTGGGTTTGAAAGCTGTGGTAATAATGGTGTTGGAATTTTTGGGGTAAGGCTGTATAGTATAGTATAGGGGTGTGGTGTGGTGTGGTGTGCTTCATTCATAGTATTGAAGAGGGGGGTTGGTAATTGGTCTTGTCATTTGGAATGATAATATATTTTGATTCTGGGAATTGATATAGGATGTTTGAGTGGTATTGAATAGATATTGGAGTATATGTCATTATATATTGTATGTTTATTGGTGTGCATTTGCAAAGTTGAAGATATGTAGATGTTCGGGTTGATCTTGCTGGGGGAAGGAAATCTTATGGTATAATTACTGGAACAAATGTCAACTGATACGTTGAAACATTGAAACAAATTCGAACATTGAAATCATAGAACCAAGACCTCCCATAAAGTCTGAAAATTTCCTTATTCTTAGGATTGATATAGAATTGAGAAGCTAATAGTAAAACTTACTATTAGTAAAAGCATCATCTTCCTATTAAGACTAGCGCTGCATAAATTCAAATCACATAAAATTGTTTGTTACTTCGTACTCGACAATAGGATATCAATTTAGCCGTGTAGTGTAATATTTTCTTTGATAAGACTCACGCGATACTTATTATGACTTCTGGTGCATCGTGTTATGTAAGTTTAAAGTCCTTTATGTGAAGGTCGAGGCAAGGGTCTTGTTTGGAAAGAGAGTGTTTTGATGGATTGTGGTTTTTGTTTTCGTGACCTGCTGAACGATAATATGTAGAGCATGGAACGGGTGAGGGGAAGCTGAACGGAACAAATTATGATAAATACTCCGTAAATGTCGAATTACCACATAAAACACTTTATCCCTAGTATCTCCATGTAGCTGCAACATTTTACAATTTATATAGAGTGTATAGATACCGAAGTCCTGTTGGCTCATTGCTTTCCCAGCCACTGCCATTTTTTGACTTTATACTCTACTGTACGACCATGGGCATCACACCCTGAAAAGCTTGGACGGACAGCGTCACCGTGCATTTCGTCCCCATTATCCCCCTTCCAATTCTCCCAATTCTACCAACAACCATCGGAATATATAATCTACACATCACTGATGCATCAAAGATCCCCGTAACTGCTTCCAAAGATCCCCATCGATAAATCCATCACAAGGTTTAATTGATGAGCCAATAGGATTTCAGAACGCTGAACGTGGAAGCTTCGATAACCCACGCAAAATGCAGCGATATAAAGGGAGCTCAAGCTTCCAGAGCTCCAAATCTCAGCATCTCGAGACTTGGCGAAAAGTTGCTCTCGTTTTTCTTATTTGCGCTTTCTTATATACTTCGTACATTATGTTGTTGGATCAGATACTTTTATTATCTCTTACAGGCGTTACAACCGCCGCTTTGCTTCCTGAGAAACAGCAATCTTCAACTTCTACTTCAGATGTTCCACAGTACTTTCAGACCACGCCGGAACTCTGGGCAGGGCCAACCGCTACTGGTCGAGCTCCTTTCCTGGTAAGTAGTTAAAATTACTTAACCAATACCATTTTAGAGAAAATAGATTAACGATTAATTTGCTGTTCGGTTTAGGCCCAGACAAATCCCGTCTCGTTTGCACCAACTGTGACTTTCGTCCCCAATACTCCTCTTGAAACTGCCCAGCCTATTGTAGGCCAAGGCCAGAATCAGAGTATATTCCAACTTATGGGAAATCTTTCTCCTTATTTACCTAATCCATCCGGATTTGGTGTTGCGGAGTATCCATTACCACCGGGAGCTAAAATCGCTCAACTTCAGGTAAGAGTCAGATCTTGGAAGATACATACAGTTCTCAATATGATATCACATTTCCTTGAGTTTTCAATCAATTCCTAGTGGAATTAAGCAAATTGTACAATATAAAAAGACAGTTGGTGTGGTTGAATATTCTATAGGAGTGTGAACCATTGTTTAAGCTCTTTCTGTATTACCAAATGGCGTCAACGATAGACCTCCGAAAGACACATATATACCATATGCTGACATATTGCAGATGCTCTCACGTCATGGATCACGTTATCCTACAGTAGGAAGTAATGTTGAAGTCTTTGGCGAGAAAGTCGCAAACAATACAGAGAAGCTCAATGCCACTGGAGCCCTCTCGTTCTTGAACGACTGGAAATACGGATTAGGTCATGAAATTCTCGTTCCTCGTGGAAGACAAGAGTTGTATGACAGTGGAATTTTGCATTACTATCAATATGCACAACTGTACAATCCTCATAGTAAAATCATCGCAAGAACTACTACCCAAGATCGGATGCTCAAGGTTTGTGGTCGCTCGCTTGTTCTCTGACATAAAGCTAAATGATGGTAGAGCGCGGAATATTTCATGGCAGGCTTCTTTGGTCTTGAATGGACAAACAATGCCACTATTGAGGTCATTATTGAGTCCCAGGGCTACAATAACAGTCTAGCAGGTTACGATAATTGTCCAAACTCGAATAATTATAGAAGTGCTGGAGGATCAAATGCTTCAGACCAGTGGGTTGCTGTATATCTCCAAGATGCCACCACTCGATTTCAATCCATGGTCTCACCGGAGTTCAATTGGACTGTCACAGACACCTACGCAGCTCAAACGTTGTGTCCATACGAGACTGTAAGTACAAGCTTTCGACGTTTACATGAACACCGCAGTCTAACATCGTGTAGGTGGCCTTTGGGTACAGCGCGTTCTGTGATCTATTCACCTATCAAGAATGGGCTGACTTTGAATATGCAAACGACCTTTACTCTGCTAGCGCAAGTTCTTTTGCCTCTCCAACTGGACGCGCTGTGG